GCGATCTTCAATCCAAGATAAGGGTGGGGTTCTGACTTTATAATTGGGTTTATGATGATTGATATGCGGGGTTAGAGGTGATTGTTGTTTTGTTCTTGAATTGGATGTATATGATGATGTATGATGAAGATTGATAAATTTTAGATGAATAATGATGTCCCGTTGTTGTTTAATCGATGTAGTATTATAGGATAATTGTAGGTGATGATTTATCATGATTATATTAAGTTTGTAGGGTTAAAAACATGAATCCCGTAGTGAAATGCAGAGAAAATCGCAGAATTATACAGGAATGATCAGGATGTGTCGACCTCAAACTTGATGCGTTGACACATGAGAGCCTAGAGACTCAGTATGAGTCGACATGAAGAGGCTTGTGTCGATACATGAAGGTTGAAAGACTCAGGATGAGTCGATCTGTGGGATGCATGTGTTGATACATGATGTGTGCAAGACTCAGGATGTGTCGATCCATGAGATGATGTGTCGACCCATGTTGTGCAGTTAGAGCAGTATGCATTGATCCAAGGGGTTTTGCGTCGACCCATAATGCCTGATATTTGGTAGATTCAGTTTTAAAGTGTTGTAACTTGAGTTTTAGGATTCTGTTTGAGATTTTGTTCGAAGTGTTGAATAGCTAACGCGATGAACATTATTCTAGAGGATTAAAATGAAGAATAGAAAGTGTAATCCTAGTAGCTAATTTAGGATTTAGAGTTAATTTTCGTGTTGATCGTTGCGCTGGTTTTGTACATAATAGATGCTTAGAAGCTTATGTTTGAATTATAACAGTAGGATTAGTGACACTAACGATGTAAGAATTATAGAATAGCAGTATGAATTACTGTGGTATTAATGTACAACTGAGTTGTTAGTGAGAAGTTGTTAATGATGTTGTGTTAATGATTTATAATAAATAAATGATGATTGATGAATTATTATGATGATATGAGATGTTGATGAAGAGACGTTGAGATGCTTTTGAGATTTTGTTAATTTGAAATGTTGTTAATTTGAGATGTTGTTAACTTGGGTGTTGTTATTACATTCATGATTGTGTCGCATACATTGCATTTTTTGAGATGGAGCTTATGCTCGTTGAGATGGCCTGTAATGGCGAATTTTGAGATGAAGGCTATGCCTTGTTGATGCCTCTATTAATTGGCAAATTTTTGAGATGGGAGTTCTGCTCCAATGGTACCACATGCATTTGCATAGTATTGAGTCGCATTATATGATTGCATAAGGAAGTGTGTGATGATGTTATGAATGTATTATTATTGTTGATTATGAGATGAGAAGTGGTGATGTTATGTGATCTAATTTAATATATTAATTATCATGCGCTTTATTATATTGTTAGATATCTCACCCCTTCTGTTTGAATGTTGCCCTTATGTTGGTAACGTGCAGGTAATCAAGAGTGAAGGATGTATACCTTTAGTAGTTCGAGTTGGTGTCATTGCTCTGATATGTAACACTCGGGGGGATGAACGCTTGCTGTTTTTTATTGTTGATTATTATTAAATTGTGTTGTTTTGAAGTTGCTGTATTGATGATAAAATTGTTATTGAGAATTCCGCTGCGTAGATGTTGAGTTATTTAATTAAAGATGTTATGATGGTTCATCCTATGTTTTGAAAGTGTTATATATCCATGATGAATGCAATGAGTTTTATAGAAGAATTTGTGACGCCCTGGTTCGTTTGCATGATTGAATTTTATAACTCTGATTTATTTTATATAATTGCTTGGGGTAGAATTGGGGTGTTACACTTTGCATTGAAGAGGAAGAAGATGATGAGGTGTTTGAAGGTATTATTTTCAACCTGGAAGTAAGGGATATGAACTATGATGATGAGTTGTTGGGGTATAAGAATGGTGATCAATGAATATTGGAACTTTCAATATTTGTGGGTGTAGAAATTCTCTTAAAAGAAGAAGAATCTGCTAGGTTATATCAAAGCAACAAATTGATTTGGGGTTTTTCCAAGAAACTAAAATACAAAAGATGAAGGAGGAAACTGTTTTCAGCTTATGGGGTTCAGAAGATTGTGATTGGTCCGCGAAAAATTCGGAGGGTCGTTCCAGAGGAATTATTACGATTTGGAAGAAAGGAGTCATGATTCTATTTTCAGCTTCATGGGAAAAGTGTATTTAAGGCATTAAAGTAAAGTGGAAAGTTACATATATTTACTATTTAATATATACTCCCCTTGTGTATTATCGAAGAAAAGAATCTTGTGGCTGGAGTTATTGAATCTGAAAAACAAATTTACTGATAGGGAGTGGGTTCTGGTGGGTGATTTTAACACATCAAAATCTGAGGAGGAAAGGTGGGGTAGGAGTGCTGGTAGTAGAACTGTCGAAATGGAGGATTTCAGTAGTTTTATTGGTTTCATGGATCTAATAGACGTACAAGTGATGGGTAATAATCATACATGGATTAATTCTAATGGAACGGCTAGTACAAGAATATATATATTCTTGTTATCTGAAGGTATAATTCAAAAATGGAGTATTGTGGCACAAACATCTGGAAATAGGGACATTTCGGATCATAGGTCATTTTACATCTTGTCTAGAAAGTTGAATTGGGGGCCAAAACCATTCAAATTTTTTAGAGCCTGGTACAATCATGGTGAGTTTTTTCCATTTGTCAAGAAAGAATGAGAATCGTTTGTTATAACGGGTAAGAAATCTTTTGCAATTAAAGAGAATTTCAAAAGGTTAAGGGAGACATTGAAATGGTGAAATGTGAATGTATTTGGGTGGATTGACTTGAAAGTTGAAGAGGATGTGGTGGTGTTGGATGATTTATAATGTGAAATACTGAATTGTAGATATTTTTATCCCACGAGATATAAGAGAAGAGGAAGGTTGTGACTGAGTCAATATGGAAAAATCTTCATTTGAAAGAAAGTCTGCTAAAACAAAAATCTTGGCAAAAATGGGTACAAGAAAGGGATTTGATGTTGAGGTAAAATCAATGAAGTCGCCATTGAGTATTTATTTATCCCATATAAAGGGAAATGAAAATCATCGAAGAAAAGCCTAAAGGGGAAAAATCAAGGTCTTGTGACCGAGAGATTGGGTAAGGGAGTCGATTACGCGAGGGGAAGGTATTAGCACCCCACACGTCTGTAGTACTCTACGAGATCCACTCTTGTTGTTCTAATCAAAGGATGTGTCCAATCTAATGCTTAAGAGTTATAAAATGCTAAGAGGGAATGCATGCAAAGGAACCGAAAATAAGGTAGGGAAAATAAAAGTTATACTCGTTCGGGCCCTACCCCAATACCTACGTATCCCTTTTAAGGAATCAGAGCGGACGTAGTTCGGCTCACAAATTTCTGTTTGTTTGTATTTTTTAGATGAACAATATTAAACTCAATCATTCCACCGCTGCTCGACCATTAGAGACTCACACACTGTAGTGGAAAGGAATCAAAACGTTCTTAGAAGAGAAAATCTGAATGGTGAAAATAAATGGATTGATTGGTATTTTTTACCATGAAAAGGATTTTTGTATGCTTAGCATGTTTTATACGTTTGCCAAGAAAAACAAGTTTTAATTTTAAATGCAATTATACAAAAATGGGAAGAAAACATCTAAAAGAGACTAGCTTATCTCTAACCTGGTGTTTTCATATAATGATGACCCCATGTCAAGGATGGAAAGGGAAATCTCTATCCTATGTTAGCATGCATGGATAACTATCCTAATATCTAATTCAAAAAAAACTATCCTAATCGAGCAACCCTAAGGGAACATGCAAAGATCGAAGTCGTTATCTCAATTCCAATTGAGTGACATCATCAATCATCAACAAAGGAAAGTAAAAATCCTAAGGGGAGCATGCAAAAGATCGAAGTCGTTATCTCAATTCTAATTGAGTGACATCATCGATCATCAACAAAGGAAAATGAAAATCCTAAGGGGAGCATGCAAAAGATCGAATTCGTTATCTCAATTCTAATTGAGTGACATCATCGATCATCAACAAAGGAAAATAAAAATTCTAAGGGGAGCATGCAAAAGATCTAAGTCGTCATCTCAATTCTAATTGAGGGACATCATCGATCGTCAACCCATGAAAACAAACACAAACACAATTAGCAAACAAGTGCGGAATGTCTGCTACAGGTCTTTAAACATCGACTTCGAGCGCACACTCTTTATTTCCTACTTCTCATGATATCTAGAAAGCAATAAAATGTGGAAAGATGAATTGGAAGCAATATAATACCAAACGAACAATAATGTCCGCAAAAAGCACAACCAAAGCAAAGAAACCCGAAGATACTTCGCGTGAACTGTCATCAACAAACAAACAGTCGGAGATTGAATATTCAGAAATAGTGCCGGAGCATCATCGATGTGAAAAAAATCACAATTAGAAACTCAAGCATATCCGCATATCACACACCAAACCTGCATAAAACTCAAATTTCGACAAGCAGAAGTGAATCACAAGTCTCAAATAATCGAACTATCATGAATTAATTCCTAAAAATCAAATAAAAATATCTAACAAATTTTTATAATTTGATTTTATTATTATTTTTATTATTATTTCTTTCAATCATGTGAAAAAAAGTTCAAACAAATATAAACAATTTCACAAATTTATTCAAAAGAAAATACTAAAAGGATAAATTCAGGGGATGCAAGCCTACAACTCAGGGGTGCAGGAGCAATCTGGGCGCTAAGGCCCATCAACAACAGGTCTAACCAGCTTTTTGTAACAAGGCTTGCTGGCTTCAATTAAAAACGCCAGTGGGCTTAAGGGTTTCGGTTCATTGTCAATCCAGTAGAAAAAAAGCCAAAAAGGGCATGGTGTAATGGACCTGGGAGAGGTATACTCGGATGAATTATTTCAGGGCCCAGGGATTTCACATACTAACCCATTTCTAATCCAATTTCCACTTATTTTAATTATATTACTTTTGCAATAAAAAACAAGAATAACCGTGTAAATCAATGAAACGGTGTAGTTTTATAATCTAAGGTTTAAGTTGCTGACTCTCCGTCTTCTCTTGAAACGCGACTTCTTCCTTTCCAAACTTCGCAGACGGTGATCCTCACCTCTTGCCTCCGCCTCATGTCTCCTCCTTCTCTTCTGTGTCGATCTGCTCCGATCTTGTTCACCACAGATCGCCCGTCTCAATCTTCGTTCATGATTCAACAACATTGTGCCTCTATCAGGACTTCGCCTTCTCCTAGCTTCTGATTCAGTTCTCCTACGTCAATTCACAATTTCGATGCAACCTTGCTCTCATCATCCCCAATTTCGATTCAGCTGTAGTAAAGCAACACCTTACGCTCTATTTCGCTCCCAATTCCGAGATATACGGTGATAGCGGACCGGACCGGACCGGACCGGATGAAGCATAATTCGTAACATCTTGAAATTACAAGATGAAGGAAAGGAGAATCACCTATGGAATGGAGATTCTCCTCGGTCTTTGTTGTAACGAATGTGCCTCGGAAATGGAGAGAAAACCAGAGGAACTAGAATTCACAGGTAATACTAAGCACCCATTAATCTTCAGTTTTCTTTTCTTCTTCTTTGCTTCTAAACTCTTTTGTCGTTGCTTAATTCTTTGTGTTTCCCGTTGTTATTTGAAGTCGCGGTTGCGCAATGATATTGTTGTTGTTGCTCATTTGCAGAGAGGAAGGTTGAATAATTAATGAAGGTGGTGATGGAGGTTGTGGGATTCAGAGAGGGATGAAGAAGGTGGTGCAGAGAAAAGTGCTTACGTTAAAGATGAAATTTTGTGATAAGAGTGATTGTGTGAAGGTTGTGGAGTGATGAAGTGGGGTATGAAGATCGGGGAAGATGAAGATTGAAGAGGAGTGAGATGAGAGGATGAAGAAAGTGAAGATAGTTCAGAATGGAGTGTGGAAGAGAGAGTGATGGTTCTATATGGAAGAGTGAGTGAGGGCTGAAGATGAAGATGAGTGTTCCTCTGCAAATCTCAGAGAGTTCAGAGGTGAGTTCTCCATGAACTTTTTCTGTTTCTGCCTACTGAATCCTCCCTCCAGTTCTGTTTCTTTTCTGTTATAATAGTAAGAGTCTGTTACATAAGAATCAATATGGGCCTTTGAATTTGAGAATCAGTTAGAGCAGTGAACGGTAGAGATCCCATCTATTTTTTCCTTGTGATTTTCTGTTATATTCTATTAATAACTTCTTGTTAGGTTGAATCAAAGTTAGTTATCTTTGAATCATCTTTGGCCATCGGATCTGATTGTCTGTTAGGGAATAGGTGGATAGGTTGAGATTAAATTCTGTGAGTCTTTTTATGCTGAGTTTTTTCGTTTCTGTTTTAAGCTTCACTACATTTTTTGACTAAACAAATTTCTCTGAAATTCTGCTTTTGTTACTTCCATCTCTGTCTGATTTTTATTTCTCACAGTTTCCCCCTTTTCCTTTTTTATTCCAGACTTTTCTGTTTTAGTTTTCCAATTTATATCTAGCGCAACCCATGGATTTAATGCAGGTTCGAAGCCATTTGCGAACCGGTTTAGATTAGAGCTAGCATGATCGGAAAATTCGAAATTAAGGAAAATGAAGATGGAAGCAGGGCACAGTTTGATGAATGGTTAAAGATGGCTTATGGAATGAAGTTTAAGGGCATTTGATTAGATTTCTTTATGAAATTTATTGATGTAGATTCTTGTATTGATTTTGAATGAAATGGTTTGGATAATGAATGTTGTTTGAATAGTCATAACTTTTAAGGAGTAATTTGAACAAACATTTGGATGAAATCTTGACTGTGAATGAATTTGAACCAAACTTTGCCTACAACATTAGCTTGAAATATACTTGAAAACACCTTAAGATTTTTGAACTTTGAAGGTTTCCTTTCATTACAAATAATCGAAACACGTAAACCTTCCAACTTTGCAAACCCCGAAACAATTCTGATCCATATGAGATGTCTTAAACACAATGAATTTCTCAAATCATGTTCATTATTTTAGAAATTTAATGAACACAAAATAAATGCCTTTGAGAAGACTTTTGAAGATAAGTTTTCTAATCCCATTCTTTGAATGCACATTGGTATAGGAATGACTTGAGATATAGAAGAAAATAGACTTGAACCTTTGGAGATGAAGATCAGGCTTGAAGCATAGAAAGGGATAACTTTAACACGCAACCCCAACCATAATCTTCCATTGACGATGTTGTATCCCAAAATTTTCCCTCCCATTTTCACACAAGACATACTCCTAGAGGTCCTCAATTGCTCAAGGTTGACAAAGAATTGACCAGACAAATTCTCCTCCTAAACAATGAACATATAACTAGGGTTTCACTTCTCACTAAGATGTGTAAAACTCAAAAGTTCTCAAATATTTTCCATGGTCCTAATATGTCTTCAAGATTGTCCATGACAAATTTTATGCCTTGCACTACAAGTTTGCTCAGTCAATTGCTCAAATGCTTGAAAATCAACTGTACTAGGTCAAAAGTCAACTGTGGCCCAAATACAGTCAAACTTCATGATTTTAGGTCAACATCAAAATTTTGAAGTGATATCCATCATTTGGTCAAAGGTTGATCATGATTCCTCAAGAAATGCTCTTAATTCATCAAAAGTCAAAAATTGCTAAATTAGGGTTTCTATAGAAAAAGTCAACCAAACTTTGACCAGGCATAACTTACTCATACTTCATCGATTGTTTCCCGACCAAATCTCATTTGGAAGATAATCCAATTTCCAACAACTTCTCTTCAGCCCTCAAGTCCAATAAATGCACCATTTGAAAGATACAAGCTTATACATTACATGTCATTTTCAGAAAGTCAACAAAAGACACTTTTGTCATGAACATTTACATCAAGATAAAATATTCAAATGCAAAATTGATCAAAATAGAGATTGAGTTAAACATCTTCGGCTTTTCAAAAGTCTAAGATCATCATCATGGGATAAAAATTGAGTAAGTTATCGCTTTCCCAAGTTGGGAAAATTTAGGAATTTTCAAGAATTATGCATTGAGCAAACTTGAAGTTTTAGGTCAATGGCTTAATTTCTTGGACTTCAAACATCTTCCTAAGATCATTGAGGACCCCTAAAACCATTTTTGCATATTCTTGATTTTATTTGCATTTTATATTAATTTTTATTTAATTAAAGTCAAATAAATCAAAAAATATGAAATTTATATGGGCCATTGATATTTGGGTTTGGTTTAATGCATGAGGAGGCCTTAATTTTCGTGTACAACAAGGTCATCATGTCTATATTCATTCAAAATTAAAAAATGGACAAGATCCCACACTTTTGGCCAAGGTTACATATTTGTATTCATGGAATTCAAATGTATGTCTATGGTTGTTACAAGCATTACTTTTCATGTCTCCTCACTCGTCTCTATATAAATAAGGCATTAGCAAGCATCAAAGGGGGTGGGGGGGGACACGGCCTGAAAACTCTACATGATTTTGCAAGAAAATATCAAAGTTGTTAAACTCAAAAACACAGCGCCAGCCTGTTTCAACCCAAACAAAGGATCAAAACACACTCCTGGAGGTTCCCTGACACGTTTCCAGCCATTATCAAGCCTTGAAGCATTGCCAAACGCGTCAACCAACTCTCATGGTTGGCTTCATTTTCTAAATTCGTTTTGTATAATTCACGTAATATCAATGTGTTTTGACCATGCATATTTAATCATTTAAGTATTTGCAAGATTTTGGTATAGCTGGATTATAGTTTTGGTGCGGGTATCGTGATTGGCCATTTCTAGGGTTTGAGCCTTAAAATTGGGGTTTGTCGATTCAGTCAAAATTAGGCTTAAACAGGGGCACCATCATGCTCAGGAGAGTGAGGCCAGTCGATCCATGGCCTCATATACAATTTATATTGCGTATTTTGTTTGTTTCAGGATGCAAAGGCTATAGTGACAAGCATAAAACTGTTATTATAGGTCTTGTTGTCTAATACGACAGAGGGAGGTAGAAGATGAAGTGTGGCGGCCTCTGATTGGCCAGTTTGAACTGCGTGCGTTTTTTTTTAAATTTTCCAGATATTAAGATTTTTGTATATAATATATTATTGTTGTTATATACATGATTGAATGGGCAGCACGGTTGGTAATGAAGCGCGTTTGTGAAGGAGAGGACATGGGTTCGAGTCCCAGGTCTAGCATTTTCTTTTATAACGTTTGTCAATCACAAATCCAATACACATGGCCTATGCAAATTTACCGTATGCCTCCAAGTCACACCCATCAGATCATGCTTGATTTAAATCCAAGGGTGACAAGCGCTCATATCCACCATGTACCCTTAAGAGCTATCTTCATTGGATCCAAAAACCAGTTTGGGCTCCATTTCATTTGAGCCCAGCGAAATTCAGATTCCAACCCCCACCCCCATTTTGCTTTAAATATCTTAGGCCCATTTAACTTTTTTTTTGTATTGTTTTAATTATTTTGTTTTCTTTTTAACCAAATATAATAATAATAAAAACTAAAAAAAAAATAGGTTTAGATATTTTGATTAAATAGTTAATTTATTAATTAATTAATTAATCAAACTTTAATTATTTTCTTAATTTTAAATAAACTAGAATTTAGGACTTATTTTTAATTTTAATATTTCTTTTCATAAATATAAAAAACCCACAAAAAGTTTAGTTTATTTTCTAAATAGACTTTAGGAAAACTAATATAATTTTTCTCTTAAATCAAAAACAACAAAAATATTTTCTTTTATGTTTTTAGACGTATATCTAATTTTTCGCGCGCTTATTTCCGTTCGCATTTATTTTATATATATTATTGTAATTGTTGTCTGGAATGTAATAGATAATAAGTAGGACCTTTTTATTGCTTTATTTTATTTTTCCCCATTTGGTTTGGAATGTAAATATCCCTCTCCCCGAAGCCATGTAATAGTGTAGGTTTATCTTTTCTGCACTTTATTTTCTATACCATATTTCTGATAGTAATTAGGATTGTATGAAAAGACTGAAATTAAAACGGTAGAAAACCCTAAATACGCAAGATAAATAACTAAATTGAATCACTCGCACATGCGCACCTTTAGGGTACCCCCACTTCGGTTTCCTTCGGAAAACGGTCACAATTCTTGAAACGTGAGAAGTTTTAGTGGTTATCCTTTAGTTTGAAAGATCACAAGTCCCTCGATGACCCTTTCGATGTTACCTC